GGATTGTCAAAAGAGAGGCAGGAGATTGAAATGTCCTGCAAACGAAACTTCGATCTTTGTGAATCTCTGGGTGTCTTTGTCCCAGTGTGAAAGTGTGCACACTGGACTTGTGAAATAGCCTCCAATTGTTCTTTGACTATATACTATAACGTGAAGGTTATTGGGCTCTTCCAAATCCCAGATGCAGTTCGATTGGATTTAACCGATCGAGTGTGAGTGTTATGTACGATATCATTATTTCACGTTTAAAAATAAGGAGGAATTGAATGGCTGTGGAAACTATTATGAGATTTTAAATAGCGATTTCAAAAGTACGAGATGTTGCAATGTTTTGAAGGGAAAATTTTCTTATCATGCGATTATTGTGACTTTGAAATTCAATTTTTGGAAAATATAGTAGTGTGAGTATTTTGGTTCCTAATTAGTTCAATCGATTTAAGTTCAAATTAAATTTAAATATTTATAATAATATCTAATATAAAATATATGTAATAGCGTTGTATATACGTACGTATATACATATACCAGCTCGTTCATAACAAGAATCATTATCAATAATACATTTGCAGCAATGTGATACATATAAAAATATTGTATAATATATAAAAATGTTGTACATTATATTATTTTTTTTTTTTTTTATTAGTTTTGTTACTTTCGTTTCTACTAATTTTTTGACATTGACCCTGTTAAATTATTCTTATGTCGCTTTTTTTTTTTAGAATTAACACCGTGGTTCCGTATTTTTTATTAAACTACATTTCTTCTTAAAGAGAAGAATTTAACTTTTAGATTTTTTTCAAAATTCAGATAAATAAAAACAAGCAGAAAGTTTTCAGAATCTCTTTTTTAATCTTTTGAGATTATTGACTTTTAAAATTATGTTACATATACGCACAAATAAGAATCGTGAGTACGAATCTGCTTTGTATTTCTTACACATTCATTGCTCTTCCTCTTCAAGAGATATAAAACAAGGATTCAAAATTCAGTTCCATTCCGTATTGTAACCATTAAATAAAAACGAGCAAAAATAAAATCTACAATTATCTTCCATTTTTGCTGTTCTGCTCAAAATCAACTTTTCTATTGATCCAATTAATTATTGAATAAAAAAGATCATATTTCTATACAATTTTCCTTTTTTCTTACGATTTTGTTATGGAAAATAATTTTTCCAATATTGATATAAAATTTCTCAATTCTTTGCTTTTCTCAATAATAATATAAGATATAGTTGATTCAGCAAGATAAACGTTTTGCACAAAAACAACGCATTCTTCTCAAATCATGCAATCATATCCAATTCCACCAAATTTAAAATTTAGTTAAGAAGCCTCTAAAAATATTTTGAATGATTATGAATGATTTTTCCTTCAATATTTATCTTGTACAAGAATTCTAGAAGTATTTGATATGATATCAAAATAGATGAATTGCTTTTCTCAAAGACACGCAATAAAATATTCAAATCCACGAAATGTTCGAGGAGAACACTAAAAAGAGAAGATTCGTTATCCATGTTGTAAAAGAATTTCCATCGAATTCATACAAATATTTTAACAATGATGCAACTGTCATTTTCAACGCTTTAGTTGAAATCAATTAACAATGTAATAATAGATGATCCATTCAATATATTTACTTCTCTATCGATTGATCGTGGAATACGCTCTATTATGTGTAAATCCATTTCTCAAGGTAACGAATTCGCCTCGATTACCGTTTTCCAAGATGCAAAGTACGAAATTCCTTGTTTTATGCTTATTTAAAATTTCAAAACTCTTTAATAGGATATTGTCTGTTTCGATATTAAATTTTTTTTTTTTTGCATCCTCGTAATGATTTCTTTTTCAATGCTTATTTTATATTTGTTACATTATATTTTCTCAAGAATTTTTATATGACTCATACATGGCAAGCACAATTCAAATTCTGGTATGATATTGATTCTATTTTGTTTACATTGTTGCTTAACCAAATGAATCACTATGTCTTTCAATTGTTGTTTGTTACAAATCATGTAAAGTTACATATATATAAGTGGCATATAGGAAAATAAGATAAAAATTCTATATATATTTTGTATTTATTTATTTATTTATTTATTTATTTTACGATTATTTTACAATATTCCAGTATTGTATGAAGTCGTTAAATAAAAATAAGCAAAAATTGCAATCGTATTTTGCTTGATTTTCTTTTTTTACAATTAATTGTTAATATTAATTTCTTCAACGTTAACCACAATTTATTCTTCTCTCAAAATTCGAAAAATTTTTAGTTTACCAAATATCTATTTTTTTTCGATAATCATTATATATGAAAAATTATCTTAGATTTGTTCAAAATTCAGATAAATAGAAATAGTGGTTATCAGAATCTCTTCTGTCACGATTTCTTTAAGATTATTATCTCTTTTAAAAACTATATACATATAAGACACGAATATACATAAATATATATATTTTGTATTCCTTTCATATTCATTGCTGCTCCCCTCAAAAGTCGATATATTGTCGACTTGTATATGTCGATAAATTTGATAACAAGGATTAATTGTTTCATTATTGTTACTAATCATTTTTTTTTATAATTTTTTTTGTTACGACATTGACTTGTTTGACGTTGATTACAATTTTTTCTTCTTCTGTCTTCTTCAATAATCGTATAAGATATAATTGATTGAGCACATGAACGTATATATGCCTCATACGATTATTTCACGCTTTATAATCATAAATCATAAATCATGCAATCATGTTCTATTCTAAAAATCCTCTAATAGAAATATTAATGATATCATTGTCATTTTCTCTTGTACTAAATGATTCTTTCTTCAATATCTATTTTGTATGTATTACATTGTTGTTTTTTTTTTTTCAAGAATCAATAGATAATTTCACTTTCTATTGCTCATTAAATTTTACATTTTGCTTTTCATTTTTCAGAAATCGTATTATTCAATTTTCAAACAAACAAGTGATTTCTTTTGTCCAAAAAGAATCCTTGTGGAAACTTTTTAGACTTCCTTTGTCCAAATGTTATAATAAATTCTTAAAAAAAAAAAAAAAAAAATTACACACATGAATAGGAAATTGGAAAAGATTCTAGAAAAGAATCTTTCTTCGATCATTTCGAAGATTTTTCTTTTATTTATTGCGTACTCGTTTCGCATTATTCTGCAAAAATCGATGATTAAAACTTGATGATTGAAGAATTCTAAATTATGTTATGATATGTTTTATATTTATATGTCTTATACTTAAGATAACTGGATAATTTCTTTTCCATTTCACATTTTTATTGCTTATTAAAATTGTATGATTGAAAAATTATTTTTTCAATTGTTCTATGAAAAAAACGAGCAGATATTCCATTTACATTCTGCATCATTTTTTTTTTTTTTGCGATTAATTCTGTCACGATGTTAGTTTTTTCAACATTGCCCATTAAATTCCCTCCGCAATTTTCTTTTTTTCAAGATCATATATAATTGATCTAATAGATCTTTTATTATTTTTTTTTTTAAAGATTAGTCCTGTTCAACATCGGCCATTAAATTTTATATGCCTTTCTGTTTTTTCCTCTTATTTTTTGCAATTAATTGTTTTATGATAATGAAAAGAATTTTTCATTAGCCATAATTTTTTTTTGCTTTTTTTCATCTATTAAAAGACTGTCCTCTCTTATTTTATTAATTTTTTTTTTTAACGATTAGTTCTGTTAAATCACTAATTTCTAGCATTGGTCAAATAAAAATAGATTATATAAAATTTTCCTTCTCTTTTGTTTTTATTAATTTTATTATAATTATTTTACGATTTTAATATCTTTATTGGCTTCTATTTTCACAAATTTTTATCAGCAATCTCATGTAATTTAATTCATTTTATTGATTTTTTTTTTGCGATTAATTTTGTTATGTTATTAATTCCGCACATTAAATAAAAATAGACAGAGATTGTAACTGTGTCTTGCACGATTTCATTTTTTTTTTTTTTTTTAGTTTTTTATTCCTTCATCGACCACTAAATTTCTTTCACAACTTTGTCTGTTTTTTCAAAAATTATACGTGACTCAAATCTGACATTCTTTCAGTAAACCAATAATAACTGACTTCGACGATTGAAGCTCCGAAGCTTTTTTCACTATTTTAAATTTAATAAAAATTTTATGATTATCAATATCAGAAATTTTGATACAAAAATATACGTACGCATGATCTAATCAACATTCTATGAATATTCAGTTAAACAATATTAATTTCAATATCGTTGAAAAACCTCTGTTAACACTTCATTAAATGGGACAGTTTTCGGTATTAGTATTTCGTATACTTTTTTTTTGCGAACAATGATTCTTCAATAAGTATCTTATCTAATATCTTAACATTAATAAAATTCTAATATTAATAAAGATTAATTCAAAGATTGATTAAAATCTTGACAATAATTTTTTTTAAACAAAATTTAAATGAACAATAGGATTGTTGCATCTTTTTTTTCTTTTTCTTTTTTATGAAAAAAAAAGTTTAACCTGGAAGATACAGAGCAAATCGAAACAATCGATCGAAGATCGATCCATTTATTTTATAAAAATTCTTTAATCATCATCAATCATCTTCACAAAATAGAATTAATAAAAAAAATTAAACAACAATATGTTTAATATTAATATTAATATTAAAACAGATTTTTTCATTCATTTCTTAACGTCAATCATAATAAATATAATTCTGTATAATAATAATTGTTAACATAACAGAATTATTCAATTTTAATTATATAAATAATTTTTAAATAAAGTAAGAATAATAAATGCGCGGGAATTGTATTTTACTCGTTTGCTTGTACTATGGAAAATCATAAAATACATAAAAATCGTAAAAATTGACCAATGCATAAACCATAAATTTTCAATATTCAAATATGATATTCAATTATGATATTCAAATACGAATAAAATATTGAAATATATTCATACAAAGTGTATCTTACCGAAAACGCTTTCAGGAACACCAGACACTGTATGATGCCCTCCATCGTGTCCCCCGTTAAGCAAAACGTGCCAGTCAGGTGACGACCCTTACGTCCGATCACAGAGCAGAGGTTGGCCTGGACGAAGGCGTTCTGTGACCGCGTGGCTGCCGTCAGGGCTGGCTGGTGCGATCCGGAGCTTATCAACCGCTCCAGCGAGTCCATCTCTCCTCTTCGTGATCCTGTATATCGTGTCCCTCTGTTCAAGACCCAATGTTCAAGTGTCAACGAGCTACTCTCAGCCTCAAACTTCAGGTCTTCAATGAGAAGACGCTATATCCAATGATTGTTCTTCTCTTAACATGTAACTAGTACACTTAAAACTGTATATATATAACGTCGATACAGTTTGATATGACAACTCGAATGCAAGGGAATCGATCTGCCATTCTCTGGGAAAAAGAAATAGATACGTGAATGCCAGACAACTCGATCGAGCCTGTTCTGTCATTCTTCGGGAAAAGTAATTGTTGCGCGAATGTCAAACAACTCGAGTACAACTCGAGTCGTTCTGCCATTCTCCGGATGGAAAAGTGGATGGACGATCAATACGAACGTCAAGTACAATTGAACTGTTCTTTCTTTTGTCTGGGAAAAGTAGCAATACGTCAAACAACTGAAGTATTAATCGAATCGGTGTTTCATTGTCTGGGATAAATGGCGATACGTCAATGTCATACAACCGAATTATTGTTTCATTGTCTAGGAAATATACGCCAAATAACTCAGTTTACTTAATTTCAATTTTATTAAAAACTAAATTATTATTTCATTGTTTAGGAAAATTAGCAAAATGTTCAATATAATTGAATTATTTAGGAAAATTAGCAAAATGTTCAATACAATTGAATTCTTCTTTTATTGTCTAGAAAAATAGTTTTACGTTGAACGAATTGAAATATCGTTAGGAAATATTGTTTGAGAAAAAATAGCAAAGACGTCATATATAATTGAATATTATTGAGAAATATCATCTAAGAAAAATGGCAAATGCGTCAAACAAAACAACTCGGACACAATTGAATTGTTATTTTTAATCGTCCAGGAAAAATAGTAGGACGTTGTAATAATTGAATTGTTGTTTTATTGTCTTGGAAAAGAAAGATGCCGATGTCAATACAACTTGAATACAATCGTTGTTTCGTTGTCTGGGAAAGGTAGCTCTACGTCGAATAATTACGATTGGAATAATACAACTGAATTTGTTGTTTTATTGTCTGGGGGGCGGGGGGGGGGGGGAATAGCGATACGTCAAACGACGAAAAAAAAAAATATTAATTGAAATATTTTGTCACTTTCGCAACATAAATAGCATCACACATTGCAAATATTGTTTTTACTAATATATCGAGTTCCATGATCCCGATCACAAATTATTCGCAAACTTAGATCGACAAAAATCGTTCTTGTAATTTTCTCTTGTTCTCGTATCTATTCATTCGATTCTCGAATATAATATAATCGATACGTTTTGTTTCTTTGCACAAAAGTTTACAGCCAACTGTACCTATTCCACCTCGGTAGAAATTTCTTCGAAAATTCGGTCCTCGAAGATAGGCAGTGAAACGGCGATTTTCCATCGGCCGACTTAAAATTTTCACAGCATTTTACAATATGTATGTAAAAGTGAATAGAAACACCTTTAAGAAGAAAACGTTCGTTGTCCACGCATTTTTAACATAGAATGGAACAGCGATTTCTATCGCTTTAATCATTAAACGTGATCGATAAATTGGGAGATTTCATCGATCAACAGCGCAATAATAGATGATCCATGTATCTATTCCCGTATCGATTGGAATAATGTGCTCCATCATCATGTGCAAATGCATTTGTCAAGGCGGCATGGATTAGCCCCGTTCTCCACGAGTGTCGTTTTGACAAGTCACGCGATCATATTCAGATCTACATTTACATCTACATCTACATCTACATTTGAAGGGCAAGAACCCTCTAACAGAAATGTTTGATATCATTGTTATTTTTTGTTCATTTCCTTTAAACGATATCTTGAACACTTATTTTTGTACTTATCATATTTCTGTCTTTTTCAAGAATTAATCAGTTTGTGTGACGTTTGACGGCAAATACGTAGAACTGTTGTTAGATGTCGATTCGAGACAGGCAAACAATATTTTTCTCCCACTTCGAGCGGCTCGGATAAAGTCACACGTGTGAATAGTTCATGTGTATGGGACAAACATTCTATATCTTGCATTATTATTCCTCCTTTTTTTTCTTTTTCCTTTTTCTCCTTTTAAAATTAGTTCTGTCACGATGTCCGAACATTAGCCACTGAATAAAAATAGAAAACTATCATATCTTTATTTCGCATCACTTCCACGATTTTGATATTTTATTATAACTTCCTTCGATATTAATCACTATTATTCACAATTTTCTCTCCCCTCTTCTTCAGGAATCGTATAATTGATGATACCCATATGCATAAACTGTTTTCTGAATGTTTCTTCGAAAATCACACGTGTAGACTGTACAACAACGTATTCTCCGCAACAATCGAACAAAATAATTCACACAAAAATAATTTGCACAAGAAAGAATAAAACAATTGCACGAAGAACGTGATTCCTATAGAATTTTTTCGAAATTCAGATAAACAAAAAGACCACACGTATCTCTCTAAACTGTTGTTCTGTTTCAATTTTCTCACAATTGTTGACCGATTCTTCTAAAAGTTGTCATATAAGTAGGAAGCTGAAAGAAGAGGCGATGTTCACTGAGGGCAACAAGCCGGTCGGCCCTGCATCCTGTGAGAAATCGAGAATATACGTTGCGTGCGAGTTGAAGCTTGAAACGAGCGTCTAGGCTCGGCGGTTTGCGGTGTGGCATAACGTCTGATCAAATCGCACATCTCGTAGCATAGGAAGCAGATACCTATTATCATGAACGTTTCCATTGTATCGATTACCGTTTCCTCCGAGACACGGAACAGATTAGTCCACTGGGAATGGAAATGCTGTTACGTTCATCTAACAATATTATGTCTTCCTTATGTCTCTCCTCTCCTGAGGTATCCTGTTATTTCATACTATTTCTTATTATTGTGCTTCATTATCGATAAATTTCTCATTGTAAAAAATGGCGAGAGAATAAGTTTTTGGCAACTTTTTCGTTGCAAGATTCCTCGCTTTAAAAAGCTTAAAATTTTCTAGAAAATGTGATACTTTAGTTTCTACTTCTTTTAACCGGTACCTCTTAGCCGTACTAAGATATATTCTTCTCTTTATATCCTTTTATTCTATAGTATTTCGTTACAACATTTCATTTTTTCCTTCTATTATCAACGAAACTAAAATAACTACGGAAATAATTATTTCCCGTTTGCAACTTTTCGTTGCAAAAAATCAATGCGAAAATGTGATTCTCTGTTTTTGATATGCTGTTTTTCTTCAACGGCTTCTCTTCGTTTCTCAATCGTGACAAGGTTAGAACAAAGGATAAACGTTCCTCCCTATATCCTGTTCTATCCCGTTACAAAGTAACATTTCCTCTTTGTTGAATTACCACCGATACCAAAGTATATGAATATACTCTCTCTTCAATTCAATTCCGCTCGAAATCATGTGGTCGTCTCGTAGACGATGTTAATCCACGTCAACGGTATACCACTTATTTACGATCTTGAAAAAATGAAAAGATTTCTCTTATTTCCGTATAAATGTTGTACCATCCAATATCGACGTTAACAATAACACACTTTTACACGATGACTGTAGTCTTATCCTGCTCCCTGTTCGGGATTAAACAACGCACCCTTCCAAACCTTCCACTCTTCGCTCTCATCGAAAGCGCACACCTCCAGCTAGGATCGGGTAACGCGTGTCCCCTTTACACGCGAATCTAGCGAAGAGGGAGCCACGTAGGGGTGGCGCGGAGAGTGGAGAAGCAAAACACGTACCATGTGGGTTTTACTCGAGGAGCGTGAAAGATCGTGCGGCTCCTCCCGCGTCGTCCTCCCGCGAGACGACCGATATCGGCCCAATCAAAGTCGATCGGCCAGACGATTACGCGTCTTTTCGTACCTTGGTTCCTTTCTCCTCCCGTGTTTTCAATCACCGTTCGTTGTCACTCGAGCCACGCTCTGTCGAGGCGCGTTCTTCCTTCCCCGTGTTTACCCGCGAGACACGGACACGCGTCGACGAATCACCGCCGCGGATAACTTCCCCGCGCTCGAACTGGGTCACCGACACGCGGATTGAACGCGTAAATGCAATGTCGTCGGGAGCGTGATGCAGATCCGGGCGAGCGGAACGGGCGACAGAGGCACGGTAATATTGGCAGCCTCGCAAGCTACGGGCCAGCGTATGACTACTAACCAGATACTCTCGCGGCGTGAGGGTGCGCCTTTGCAAGGGTGGGCGGGTGGAAGCGAGGTGGATGCTGGGCGACGGCGCGGCCCGCGGCGCCACCCCCTCTGCTCTCGCAAAATCCACTCCCCCTCCCGCTCCTCTCTTCCCTCTCCGCTTGGATTCTCTTCCTCCCCTGGGATGCTCTTCCCACTTCTTCTTCTTCTTCTTTCCTCTTTCTTCTTCCTTCTCTCACTTTTTGTCTCCTTTGTCCTACTCCGCTTTCCACTTCTCGACAACTTTTTGTCTCTTTCCCCCTTCTTTTTTTACGACTGTTCTGCCTTCCCCCTGTGTCTTTATCTGTCTTTCGGTCGGAGGTAGCGCGTCCTTTTTTCTTTTCTTTTTTTTTTTTTTGCGCTTTGCTCGTCGCGCCTCTGCTACGTTCTAAATTTTTGTGATTTCGCACGCGACTCGCGGACGAGTGGTACGCTCGATCTATCTATCGTAAGAAGAGGCAATGCTAGAGGGGAATTAATATTGTTGTTGGTTAGACGTGTAGGTTGTTGTCGTAGTGATGTTTGGTTGGAAAGTTGCGTAATGGAATCTTTATGGTTGATGGGAATTTTGGAGAGAGAGAGAGAGAGAGAGAGAGAGGATAATTTGAAAAAATAGATTGTATTGGTGCTCGAGGAAGATTCGAAAGAATATGAATATTTCGTATATTGTATTTTATAGATTTGGTGTTTAATCATTTGTTATATCTTTTGATTTTTAATATAATCTTTATTTTGTACTTTGAATTTTCCAAATAGAAGTTATGATTTACGAAATTTGTAATAAAAATTCAGTCATAATTTTCATGATCAGATTTTTAAATAACTTAGTATATACGAATTGAATGCCAAATATACGTTACAAAAAAAAAAATTTAAATTTACAATTTATATATCCAAAGTGTCTGGATTCTTTGGAAAAGATATCATAAGGCATGAAAATAATTTTGTATCAATATTTACAATTTATATATCCAAAATGTCTTGATTCTTTAGTAAAGATATGATAAGTTATAATTTTTTTTTTTACACATATAATATTAAAGCAGTGTGTAAGTGATCTTAAATTGCATTTGAAAATCAAATTTAATTTTTAATTTATACAATCTTCTTTTTTTTTTTTTTTTTTTAAATTTCTTTTTTATATCTTGAGATATTTTGATAAACACACTTTTTGAATAGAAATTCCATGATGATGAAATTATACAAACTGCTTGAATAATATTTTGTTTTTTTTCTATTCTTTCTATTCTCAATCGATGTTAAGAAACAAAAGCCACATTTTTCGTGGACACTAGAAGTGTATTTTATATATAAAACGACGAACCTCGTACTACAGAACGTGGTACTATAAAATACTCACGATTGATCGTGATCTCGATGCTGCCTAACAATTCTTGCTGACGTACACTGCACACTTTTCTGTTTTTTTTTTTTTACATTTGTTATGTTTCTCGAGGTCTGAATGCGATCTTGCTGACGTTCGTATTGACTACGTTATTGAATAGGATCCTTGGTTACACTCTCCTCAAAATTTTAATATAACAATATTTCAATATTTAGTTAATAATTCATTTCCATATAACAATATTTCAAATATAATATATTTCTAAGGATTGCTTTGATGTCCTCTATCAATAATTTTAATTTTAACCACGATCTTTGTATCACAATCAAACAGAAACTTAACATCGCATGAGATATTAATTTAAATATTATATTATTATTTCGGCCATATTTTTATTATAATGAAAAATATTTTCACAATTTTTTTTTATTTGTAATACATTCGATAAAGTTGAAAAATATCCAATCATATTTCTTCAAGAATACCAACTCGAATATTGAATTTATAAATGGATATAATAGAAATTTATCGATTTAACAGATATCTATATTCATTATGCGCATGAAATAACTATATGCAATATTTTGTAACATAACTAGATAAAGTTTAGTCACAATATTGCTGCATTTCGAACACGTATACCAGGTTTTCTCCTATGGGTATTATAAATATATCGAAACACGGTATTAAATTTTGTAATAAGACATGTGTTAAATTCATGAAAATATAATTTATTTGTGAATTTTCATAAGTTGTCCAAAAAAATATCGATTTTTGATCGACTGTTTTTCGCATCCCTTGTTCCCTTACGGACAAAAGAGAATAAAAAGAAAGAGATGATGGAAGAAAAAAGGCGAAAAGAACGAAACGGGGTTCGTAGAGAAAGAAAAAAAAAATAGTAC